ACATAGAACAGATCCCAATTCTTATTGGTCATAACAAATTTAATTGTTATAAATAATTTACTTTACAAATTGAATGGAAATTATTGCGAAAAAAAAAATTAATCGTAAATTTTTATTCACAAAATGACTTTTAGAGTAGCGGTAGATACTCAGCGCTGTCACCCGCAACATCTTGCCTCTAGCCCGACTATTACCCCACGTTCAACGAGCGTGCACTCGCGGCTTACATTTACAGCGACGAATAACACGCTACTCTACAACGAAAAGTTCGCGCGTGACGTCACGACGTAATGTTCAAGTATAAATATCCCAATAACTAATTAACATCGCAAAATGATTTTCAATATGGAATCAATAATGACCATTAGTTTTTATTTAAATCAAAAATGAGATTTGTCCATCGAGTATTTATCGAGATAAGGATTAGGCTACGCCCTTATTCCGTTTTTCACACATTTCAATTCGATTTCTAGCCTCTTCTTTGTCAGTCTAATCTAAATGCCATCGGACGTGGACTTTTCTCTTGTGGCTACAATTCTTCCACGATATACATAGGTATACTCCCAACGTATGAAGATAGCGGATGAGTGGTTTATGTATTTCTTACGTTAATATTGATAAAAAAACAAAGAATATTGTTTATTTATAGATTATCTTAAAATATAAATGATGTAGAATGGACGTTTATTTAATTTTTGGATATGGATAGTAATGTTTATCTATAACTAACCGAAAAAGATAAAGCAAATGACAACTGAATTTGTTATAAATAATTAAAAACAGAATCTACGCAATTAATTCAAATGTTTTTAACGAGATTTTTTTTTTTTTTAACTGATGAAAAGATATTACTCATGTGAATAAATGTAATCGAACATGTTATTAATTACGATTTTTATCGCTCTAAATGAGCGTATATCAAATCTTACATTAAAATCCGGATTTTTACTGTTTCCATTTATACACACAAATTCATTACTTTTTCTTTTGCAATCACATTATTACAATGAATGAGAGATTCTATTAATTGACTGAAAAATAAATGGTTTTTAATATCCGTCCATCAATTCTTTTAATTCATTACTGTTTATACCAGTTAAACAGCATTTACGCAGACAAATTGGTACGCTTGGAATAGGAAGTTTATTTTTTTTATTTCAAAAATTGTAGCACACAATAGTTGAAAACGAGAATTAACACCCTTAATGTAATTTGGTAACTTTTAAAAACATTTCAAACTATGAAAATTATAGAGACACCTGTAAATAATGCTGAAATCCAAATGAAGAATCACTTCGAACAAATGCTATTGAATGAAATGAATAGGTATACTGATATCGAAATGACGGAGGAGAATTCGATACATTTCAAAGAATAGTATGAGGATTGGGAACCACGAATCATAGAAGATATCTAAACTATATTAGTCACAGGTTTCTTCAGCCTTCAAAACTTTCCCCATAAACTGTTCCATATGTTGGTGACTAAACCATTACTCTCCTGTAGAGCTCACCTAAGTAACTAGAAATTCCCAGAAAATTTTCCAACACCATAAGGAAAAAAACCAACAGGCAGTTAATGGCGGGCTATCCTTCAGCACCGGGACGGTTCTCCTACTCACCATCCTGTTCAACCAATCAGTCGACAGAACTTATTCTACTTTATTTTGAGGCCTTGTCGCCTTCCTTCATTTCTGTTCTTCTTGGGCCTTCCTAGCTTAGGGTCGTTCTCTTTAGGCCCTCTTTGCGATCTTCCTGAGTGTTTGTGTGTTGTATTGGTGTGTTCAACTAGTTCTGTTAATCCTTTTTTTTAGATATACTACCCTTTGCTGATGAAGAGCGAAGATCACCCACACTGTCGAAGATGTAAAAATCATCCGAGCTGATTAACAGTTTATCCCACCCTGGCTGGTGATTGTTAGTAATTCATTATTACAGTGACCTCACCTCTTTTCTGGATCTGATAGAGCCTAGCTGTGCGAACATCATCGTAGTCCATGTATTTCATCTGTGTAAACAATGAATTTGTAAGAGATATTTCAAACTACAATTACAGTCCATTCTTTTTTACTATCACCGTTCTCGGTGAAGACGAAGAATATCCATCTACAATCCATGAACCAAATGTGTCTGATTGATAAGATACTGAATTTAAATATCAATGGTATTAAGCAAAAATTAAAAAAAGTACAGTCTACTCGACAATTAAAATGCTGGGCACATCAATTAAATCAAGGTGGATTCCAATTCCAAATATCAGTGCTCTGCAGTGGTCTGGGTGCGACCCGAAAGGTCCACACGACCAACTTCCCAGTGAAAAAAATTAAAAAAAAAATATGCGTCAGAAGAATCCAAATACATTGCATAGATCTGTATTTTCATTGTTTATAACAGATTTAATTGTTATAAACAAAAAGAATGAGTTTCCATTCATGTCGTACGGTTGGTAACTTTTTTTTAGAAAAATAAAAAATTACGCGTTCAAAGAATTCAAATATATTGTATAGATCTCTATTTTCATTGTTTATAACAGATTTAATTATTATAAACAAAAAGAATGAGTTTCCATTCATGTCGTACGGTTGGTAACTTTTTTTAGAAAAATAAAAAATTACGCGTTCAAAGAATTCAAATATATTGTATAGATCTCTATTTTCATTGTTTATAACAGATTTAATTGTTATAAACAAAAAGAATGAGTATCCATTCATGTCGTACTGTTGGTAACTTTTTTTTAGCAAAAGAAAAAATTACGCGTTTAAAGAATTCAAATATATTGCATAGATCTCTATTTTTATTGTTTATAACAATTAAAAAATTTTTTATTCAAATATTGTTATGATCGATAATCATTTATTATTAACAATGTTCAATCGTTATTAACACAATTTCTTATTATTAACAATAATCATTGACTTTTTTATTATCCTCAACGCTATTTTCTCCATCCCAACACAAGTTTAAAATTTCTTTATTGCTGATTTCGTTTTTTAAAAATTTTTTTTCCTATGAAATACTGTCATCATATTTCTGTACAATTGTTCTAAACATTTGATATTCATATTTTTCAAAAGATCTCGAAATTCCGTCTAAAAAATGTTATAATTTATAAATTGCAGAATTTAGGTAGTTCACTATTTTTTCAGTTTTTTGATTCTACATAAAAAATGGCTAGACCGATTTCGCTGAAAATCTAATCAGTACTAAGTTACGTAATTACGCGTCGAATGCAGTCGGTCCCACGTCGATATCATTTTTTGTTCTTGAGATAATCGAGGCGAAAAATAATTCCGAACGCACGTACGAACATACGAACATACGCACATACGAACATACGCACATACGTACATACACACACACAGACGTCCCCGAAAAAATTATCATATTCAACTCTGGGGACCTTAAAACGTGGAGATATGTCAAAATTAGCGATTCGCAAAATCGGACCCATTACTATAACTTCCCACTGGGAAGTTAAAAAATGAGAATCATTAGCCAAAACAAATTTACAATTTGATTATCTCCGGTTGCAAGCATCTTCAACGTAGGTCCTGTCATTCAAAAGAGCTCATCGTATTGTTTTTCGTAGAATTAACAAATTCATATCATCACAAACGATTGAAGATCGTAAAATATTAATACAAACATCAGAAGTGTTCGTTAACGATGTAAAATCAGAAATTCAATTATACAGTTTAGAGAACATATAGAATACAGACCAAAGTGGCTTTCAATTAGAAGTACAGTTAGAAAAGACTTTAACTCCAGAAGGAGAAAAAAAATACAGTGCTTAGTTCAAGTCGTTTCTTCGACAACTTACAGTTATTTTATACAACCGACGATAGAAGCTGATGGAAAACTTCTTTCTCCCCTTTTTCTTGTGTTGGAAGAACCAACTTGAAAACTTGATCAACAGAAATAATATAATAACATAATATTTAAATTCAATTCAAATATTATATTATATGATATATTTTGGTAGTTTATATACTAATTTTTCTTATAACTCTTAAAAATCTGGTTAAAGGATGTACTTTCTCCGAATGTTGAAAAAAAAATTTACTTTTAATTAATTTGCCGACTATCGTTTTGAAACGGTCACGTCTGCCAAACCAGCAGATAAAGAAGTTGAAATAATGATTATTTCTACAGGGACTATTGGAAGAATTCAACCATTAGATGTTTTTGAGGTTAGGATATGGAAAAACGTGGTAGGACATATTTCAGATAGTCTCCTATTATGAGGAGATGACTTGAATTTAGACTTAAGAAATAATTCTATTGAATTACAATCACTGATTTATAATCAACTCTCGTCTCCGCGATACATTAATCATTTTCATTATTTATGATTTAAAAGTAGTGATACATTCATTGAAAATATTGCAATTATCCGTTGTGCAAGGTTTAAAAAATCATTGTGTCTTGAACATTTCTACAGTGATTATTATATGTGTAATACGTACAAAAAACAAATAGTTTATTTCCTTCATTTTGATATGAATTTGGGAAAAACGGAACGTTTTTTTGGCATAGATTTTGATGTTATTGCGAAAATTGCAAAGACACGTATCTTATAATTTTTGATGCTCTTTTGATTGAAACTGGTCCTATTGAAAAAAAATAGTAGTTTTTGAGTTATACATTTTTTGTTATTTTCAATACGTTTTTCCACAGAAAAAAAATATGTACTGATTATCCTATGGAAGTCTCAGCTATATCGACGGTGTCCACCTCGCGAGGTTCCATTGTAGAAAAGGTTACCACCTATATTACAACTCATTTGTTTAACAGAAATGAATTCGTTAAATTATTACATAGAAGCCTAAGCTACATCGTCGGTGACTACTTTGCGAGGTTTCCTATTCAGCCATGATAGAATAGATAAATTAAAACAAATAGAAGTGATAAAAAAATATTGAGTAGGAGTATGAAATAGTAAAATTGTATATGGTCATTCGAATTTTTTGTATTTGTCATTTATGTAATGTTTATTTACAGATGATAGAAAATTATACATTGATAGTACCAACAAAAATACTTAGTGATTCTGAAGAACTTGATCGCTATTTAATACAGAAGCTTCCTGGCAACTGTAATTTGACAAGTAATGAAAATGTATCGAACAACGATACAAATACTATGGAACATGATTCAGATCCATACGTAAGTAAATCTATCTATTTAAAGTTATCGATCACTACTTTTAGAATTTCTTACTGCTTATTTAACATGTACATTGTGTTCAACAAGTCTATACTTACGTTCATTGTAGATGAAAACAGGATTCATAATTGACATCGTTCAAAATCCAGCTTCATCCGGACTAACATCTGCTATTACTACTTCAGAATTTACGTCTCGATTCAATTCTTCAACTTACTTGCCGGATTCGGCCGATACAAATTTATGTCCAGAAATGGAACGGTTTACTGTTGAACTAAAGAAAGATATTTACGGTCTCGGTATAACGATTGCTGGTTATGTTTGTGAACAAGGTGAGTGAAATAATTATTATAAAATTTTTTTTTTATTGCAAAAAAAGTTTCGAATATTGTACATTAAACCTTTATCTTTCTTTGTTTCTTGTTTGATTCCGAGATTAATAATGTGTAGGCGATTTTTCTCATTATTTATACTGATATTTTATATTCCTTTCAATACTATTTACTCTTTAGTTGACGTATCTGCATGAAATTATAGTAAGTCGTACTATACAAGTTGGAGTATTAAGCTAATAAACATAAAGAAAACTGAGCTATGTACAGTTTTGACATAATTCCAGGTTTCAAGACTTTGTATGAATTCAGAGAAATTAAAATGGACACAGAATTAAATGACGATAAAAACAAGAAAGTTTTTGATCAATCGATGTTACAAAAAAAACAAGTGTGCTTTAGAACACACGATTGAAGTGAAACTTCTTCAACATTATCTGTATATGTATACTAGATAATTCGAAGAGAAAACCAAACGTTAATCAAATAAATTTCTGTAAAATTGTCTCTGATTCTGTAGGATTCTCAATCTTGTGTTTCCCTGTATCGGAATGATTGTATACTTATGTGGCGAGTTCAAATCTATTTGAAATTTTCTGCGTCTTAAACGAACGCTACTCACTCTAGTATCAGAAATCTGAATTACAGTTAGTAACCCTGCTTAAACATTTCTATTGATAAAGAAGAAATTCTATGGGCTTTTTCAGAATTTAAATAGGAAAAGTTGAGAAATTCCTGCCACCCGCAGAGAGTCTAATAGGATTATTTGAATCTGAATAGGTATATAACTGATGATCGTAAAACCCATAGGATTCAGAACTTTCTCATTCGAACAACTGAATAAGATTATGATGATTCTAAAATGTCGTCAGCAATTCCATAGAAAGAGAAGAGTTCCTATAGAAATTAAGAAAAGATATCGGAATAGAAAACTAAGTGATTGAATAGGAAAATTCGAATTAGAAATTTTTTTAATTATCAATGAAACCTCAATGGGATTCTGCATTCGCTGATAGGTTCAACTTTTCAAGCATTTACCTTTTCAACCTGTTTATTTCTCATTGAAAATTGGAGAAAAAGGAACTTGTAAAAAACCGACAAATCGTATTGAGAAATATTTTCACAAAAAATAATAAGTCGTGTTTTGTTTTTAATCTATGTATATCTTACAGAAATATAAAAAAATTGAGCCTATATTATGTAGAAAATTCGGTAAACCAGACCAGTTAAAAAATAGAATATAGTATTAGAATATCCAATAGTAAAAGAATGTTATGTAATTTTGTTCTTTAAAGGTGTTAATATGTAAACCATATTCTTAACATTAGAGATTTTGAGTTCCGCTTTTTAGTCCTAACCTTTATATCAATAGACAGGAACGAGGAGATCTTCGATAGAGAAAGTGAAAATGTGTGATTTATAAAAAAATTTATATAATTAATGAAAATTATTAAAAAGTTACAGCAGAAATTAAAACGTTACTAACCGATGATTTCTTGGACTCAGCTTGAGATGTATTATGATAAATACGTTATTAGTTGATGCTTCAATCAGCGTAGTATTTACTGTTACTCGCAAATTATTTAAATATTATTTAAAAATTATTTGACGATTAAATAAACTTGACACAAAAGTTTACAAACTCTGGAGTGTCAATTTTCCAAAAGAAATATCGTTCGATATTCCTAAAAAACAGCGACACGTCACTGTTGTTTAAAAATCTGATATTTTCAAATTGTTCTACATCCAAAAATATTTGAAATCATATAATTGCGCCAAGTCCGACATGTCATAATCGTTAGACGAATTCTAATTTATCGCATAAATAGTGTTTTTTAATTTTTACAACAAATTTAATCGTTACACAAGAAAAAAAAATATTTCTATTCAGTTCACGATGTTAGCTTTTTTTCAGTAAAAGGAAAATAAAAAAATTCAAATTGATCCCATAGATTCGTTTTTAATTATTCAGAACAAATTCAGTCGTTGTAAACCAATGAAGTTGGTTTTAATCGATGTAACGTGGCACGTAACTTTTTTTTAGTGAAGGAAATGATATTATGTTAAAAGAATTTAAATAAATTGCATAAATACCTTTTTTATTTATTTATAACAAAGTCAAATGTCATATGTTAAAACGAAGCTGTAGCTTAATAAAACCAGTAATCAGAATTGTTGAATTTTTTCCTTGGAACAAAAACCAAATTGATTAAATTTTTTAGAAGTATCAGTCTAATCCCTTTATAATCTATAAATAATTAGTGAGAGGCTGAAAAAAATCTACTTCATGATTATGCTTTAACTATAATCGTATCTATTATTGTATGGTATGCTTTTTTTTTAATTGATTATGAGCTAGCAGATTCACGTGACTTCGTTTGCATAATGCGTAGAATTACGTTTTAGAAAAATAAACAGTTAAAAATTGATTTGAGTAGTAATTTCCTACATTAAATGAAAAAAAAGATACACATTGCCATGCATTTTATGTGGTTTGTAACTTTATTTTAATGAAAGAAAAAATTACGCGTTGAAAGAATTCAAATGTATAGGGTAGATTTTGTTTCTCATTGTTTATAACGATTAAATTCGTTATAAACAATAGGAGTAGGTTCCAATGCACTTAATGTGGTTTGTAACTTTATTTCAATAAAAGAAAAAATCATAAGTTGCAAGAATTCAAAATGTAGCATAGATTCTGTTTCTCATTAGTTACAACAAATTTAATCGTTACAAACAAGGAGAGCAGGTTTCTATCTACCAAAAACAGATATCGTTCGAGAAAAAGTCATAAGACGTGGCCCAAATTTAAAAATGATATCCGAGAATCTTCTATCGATAGAGAGCATTACGAAAATTGGGCCACGTTTTATGACATTTTTTTTAACTAGCTACTTTTTCAGATTAAGTAAAACTTGATTTTGAAATTCTCTCAAACAATTATCGACAAATGAAAATGTGGTTATTCGCAGTCATTTGGAAGGTGCACAGATTTACTTTTATCCGATGATGGTGGTTTTAGTATGATACTTTAAACACTTCAAAAAAAATAATGATTAAGATTTATGCTAGCAAATGTTTATTAATATTTTGATGAAACATTTGGTCTACAATTTCTTACTATGGTTTTGCGATCATGACAAGTCGGACTTAGCGCAATTTTATCATTTTAAACATTTTTTGCATGTAGAACAATTTAAAAATGTCGGATTATCAAACAAATCTTCGCCACGATCAACGTTTATATCCGACATCTTTACATTTGGCAAAGAATATTTATTTGAATTATCTTTTGCCAAATGAACCAATAAGTATGTTATTGAGTCCCAGAGGCCTCCTATTAATTTCAATGACCATCTGTACACGGTATGAACTGTGTAACCATGTACAATGGTATCTATTATTAGTTTACATATTTTCAAGACCAGAAACACGCCGAGGAACCCTGCGCTGATAGTCCTAAATTTGACAAATCATCCCCAGGTCTTCTCCCAGGCATTCTTGGCTAATTTTTCCAACGATTCTTCATACAACATATTATAAATTGATGGCTTATTTGATATTGATCCTCTGGTTGCCTTTCCCGCAACTGTCTCTAATACTGCTGTTTGTTCCATGGTGAACATCATTCGATTCCTCATGGTTTCTAAATCTATAGGCGAATTTATCGGGCTGGGTGGATGCAACAGCTAGGCTGTTCTGTAGAATCTCCTTCTCCAGCTTACACCTATACATCATTACATCATGATATAATGTTTGGCGCTGACGTATAATGTGTCTTTCAACATAAATAAATTTAGTATTAATATAAAGAAAAATGTCCATGTTATCAGTTGTTGTGTTGACTGCTTTGGTTGCTTCCACTTGACCGAGTGAGGCTCCAATAACTATGAAAAGTTTTGGATGCTCAGTCTTTAATAATTTGAGACCACATAAGTCTTCAGCTTCAATTACAGATACTGAAAATGTAGTATCTTTCGACTGAACTGTATAAATCGTTTTTTTTGAGTTTCTAATTTTTGAGCTAATTCTCTAAATAATGTTGAATATGTTGTCATAGAACAATATCTACGCGGTAATTGATCCCAGGAGGTATGTCCTCCGTCGGGATCTACACATGTTCCCGAATTTAAATTACATTTAAAGCCGGACGGCAAGTAAATTTTATTAGAATCCGTTCTTACTCGGGCTATTGCTGATCGTAAACTAATACGAACAGTGCCCATTACTACTACAGAATTCTATGTACCGTATGGATCTGAGTACTGTGCACCTGAACAAGCTCAATTCTGAGTTGATGAGCCTGCTAAGGTGATGTTTCTAAATGTAGTTGTATTTAATAGTAAACCATCTGTGACTGCATTCGGAGCGTGCCATAATCGTGCGCTATCTGGCATGCTTCCCTTGACATGAAATGGACATAATCCATGTACGCGTTATCAACAACCGAAACATGAGAATGCATTCCACAACAATGCACAGTTCTACTTATTTCAACTTTACATTGTTTTACTTCAACATGATCATATTCATTAATTTGCAGTAAGAAAAGGTTCATATTTGCTATTTGTACACGCTCGTCTTCAACATTGCATCCCTCAATGTCTAATAGAGATATCGTTGTCATATTCAACGACTTAGAACCACAATCATACCCAATAATAGCTTGAACTGCTCCAACTACAATCGACAATAACAAAATTTGGAATCCCTGCATTGTTACTGAAAAAAAAAACAACAAAAATTAATTTCCATAATCTGGATCCTTCTCCTTGGTTATTCGCTTCTTCGACTTCTTCAATTGTTATTTAGCGTCGAACATCTTTATTTTCGACTTTTTTAGTCTATCAGAATGAACTATTCTCGGTTTATTCTTAATTAGTATTTTGACATTTCCATTTGCATATATCTCTAAAATTTCAAATGGTCCATCATAATGATCACCTAATTTATTTGGCTTTGGACCTTTTTCTAAGAAAGCATTATCCCTTATATGTAACTCGATAAGTTTCATCTTTCTGTCATAATATTTCTTTGACGTTTCTTTCGAATCTACTAGATTTTTACAAGCAAATTTACGTATGTTCGTTAATCTTTCTACTAAATCTGTTATATAATTTTCATACGTGGGTAGACGATTTAAGTTATGCAAAGGTTCATATGTCGGAACGCGCGCTATTTTTCCAAAAACAAGTTCATAAGGTGTAAATTTCGTACCTTCATGAACACTCGTATTATATGAGAACATGGCTAATTCTAACCACTCGTCAATGAAAATTATTGAAAAATTACAACAACAATTTTAACGTTACCAATCGATGATTTCCTTTACTCTGGTCGAGATGAATTACAATTAATTGATCCTTAGTCGATGCTCCAGTCAGCGCAATTATTCACTTTTACTCGCGAATTAATTTAAATATCAATTTAAAAATAATTTGACGATCAAATAAACTTCATACAGAAATTTACAAACTTTAAAATATTATCAATACAATGTCCAAGACAAAACATGACTTACGATTCCAAGAGATGTTCCACGACGATCTGATCTCGATCTTACTTTTCCGACAACTGACTGATGCATCAAACCTTACGTATTTATTTAGTCGAATGTGACATAATTAGAAGTCCTTTGCTTGAGGTGCGCACAAGTCCCTTCGCATGGTCTTTTTTTTTTTTGGAAAGTTAACGCTCTTTTTACGTCCCGTACTCTTTTTTTAAAATTTTATTGCTTTCCGCTACGTGGGTTTTCCAAAAGCAATAAAATATCTAGAAAATGATTTCCTCAACTATTTTTCGAAATCTTTTCTATTTTAACGAAATATTAGGAAAACTCGAAAAAAATAACTTGAGTAATAATCGTTAACCTCAATCCTGAAGTTTTATTGCTATTCATTTTTAGCTCCTCTTAGAATATATTTTAAATAATTATGTAGAATAATTAAAATTCATTTAGACATTACATCATGTTTTTTAAAGTAGGAAAAATCATTCCGAAAAATTATAAAGTATCAACGATTACTTGGTGTGGTCACCTAAATAATACAATCGTAAAGAGCACTTAGAATGATATAAATGTGCCTTCGTTAAAAATAGAGAAAATTTATAAAGAAAGTTTTTGAAATAAATAAAAATATACAATTGCTAAGAGGTAAAAACAATCAAAAGAAGGGATCAATTGGATAAATCAATGAGCATTTAAATATTAAAAAAAATTCACTAAATTGTTATTTCCTACAATTGTATATAAAAATCACTGCAAAAAGTTAAAAAGAATTTTTAATCTTCTTGAGATGGAGTTACAAAAGTTTGCTAGAGGCAGTTCTTTTAAATATTATTAACTTCGGCCTTTACATAGAAGCGGAAGTTACGAAAATCGAGTTTTCTAATTTTTTTGGGGTGCACAAAATTTTTTTTTTTTTTCAAATGAGATAGCTATTTTGTAGAGCAGAAAAAATTCTATTCGCTCCGAAAATGATGATAAATATTGTCCAGTAATTGTTTAAAAGTACAGATATGCAAAGTTGAGTAAAAAACAGTAGAAAATCAAAAAAAAGAATTCTTTGAAAAATTCTTACGAAAAATTGTTCAGAAGACGATTCCGAATATCCTCTAATTTTTCTAACTTTTTAAATGATAATTGATATTTTTTTTTTTTTGTATTAATAAATTAAAAAAGGCGTTCAACGGCACATTTTGCTGATATGCTTAACGTACTTACTTTCGGTGCGCGCATTTAGAGCGCTGTACATTCTTTCATGTAATAGGTAAATATATGCCCTCGCGGACCTTCCTGTAAAGAATTCCATTCTCTACTATTTTGACATTTATTCATTGTATTCCTAGTCTTGTAATATGATCATATAAAACTGTTTAAAAATCGACTAAATTGTTGAAGCCTATGATTAACTATCCTCAGCTTTTTCAATATTAATCTTAATAATACTTTATACATTAATAACTTCTCTTATGAATGATTAATTCTTTATGTTGCAGAAGAATTGTCTGGAATTTTTATAAAAAGTATAAGTAAAGGGAGCGCCGCAGATCTAAGCAATAAAGTACAAGTCAATGATCGGATTATTGAAGTTAATAATCATCCTTTAAAAGGTTATTCCAACCATGAAGCAGTTGAAGTTTTGAAAAATACTGGACAAATAGTAACATTATGCATGGAGCGATACTTGAGAGGACCCAAATATGAACAATTGCAGCAAGCGATTGCAGCAAGTGAACTAAAAAAACCTCAACCTGCATCTCCGTCGATTATGAGTCTACCGAGTTTTCCAATCAGCACGGTAATGTATTTTCTCTCTTTTTTTGTTATCAAGAGGTACAGTATTATTCCATGCGCCAATCATACATTGATGTTATTTCGCCTTTACATTATGACAAGGCGCTCCAGTGTTACTATACAAGTCATCAGATGATTTCGGCAGGTTGAAATTCTTAAAATCGAAGAATTTTCTTGATCCTAATATAAACATAAGCTAAAATAAAAAATGTGCAGGGAGTTCTGACTTGATCAGTGGTATTCAATCGATGTTCTAACTCCTGCCAACTCATCTACACTAATGAAATTACTCTAATTAAATCCTAGGCGTATAGTCTGGTAGCCGTGTGAATTCATCGTGCATGAATTATAGAATAGAAATAAAAATTTTTTGGTTATATATTCTTGTAGAGGAGGATGAGGAAAGTATTTGTGCAAATTTTTATTACTCGTAAACAATAATTATTATTGTTTATCGAGTGTCGAAGTTTGGCAAATTGCGTTTTTCCACCTTTCACCGCTTACATAGCGAGAACGGTGAGAGACATGAAAACAAGTTAACATCTTTTTTGTAGAGAATCGAATTCTCTACAAAAAAGTTCGCGAGATCACCGGTCTGTTATGGACAGGGCAAAATGTACAGCGCTGCGAAGGCATGCTAAAAATCGAGTGCTATTAGCCATAATTTCAGCACCAAGGCAGAATATGCCATTGAGCGTCTTTTTAATTAATATAAAAAAAAAAATATTTTCAATATCACAAAAAATCTGAAAGATTCTAGAATGTTCAGAATCGTTTTCTGAACCTTTCCCAATTGAAATTATGAAAAAAAAAATGAATAGGAATATAAGAAATATAAGAACAAATAAAGAATATTTCAGTTTTTCATGTTGCAATCGTAAAGGGGCGGGATCTACTAGTGCGGGAGGTCATGTGAACGATGAGAGCGTCGGCGGCGCGCTCACACAGCATGCATGCATTCGAGTCCGAATGGGATCTTTTTTTTTTTTTTATAAACATTGGTTATTTTATGCATACGTACGTAATATATATAAATTAATAATTCTATAAGGGTGCAACGTGTAAAATAAAATATCTGAAAAACTAAAAAATACTCTAGTTATTGGAACCATTTTTTTATAAACAAATAGAAATTCACATAGTACTAGTGAATTTTCAATAATTCCAACATTCTGTTAGTAATTGTTTATAAGAAGCCTATAAATTGCATTTAAAGAAATTTGAAATAATTACAAATTACGTATTTGTTCATGAAATTCATCTATAATGAACACTAAGAAAAATTTTTAAAAAATTATTTCATACTCTTCACATGAAGTTGTGAAACTTTGCTCCATATCCTTTCCAGATCAAACGATAACTTTACCTTCAAAATATAGGTGAAAGAATCCAAAAACAACATTTGGATTTTTGTCAATGTTCAATTCGACTCTCCACAAAAAAGATGTTAACTTGTTTTTATATCTCTCACCGTTCTCGCTATGTAAGCGGTAAAAGGTGGAAAAACGCAATTTGCCAAACTTCGACACTCGATAAACAATAATAATTATTGTCTTCGTGTAATAAAAATTTGCACAAATACTCTCCTCATCTTCCTCTACAAGAATATATAACCAAAAAATTTTTATTTCTATTCTATAATTAATGCACAATAGCATAGGGCTTAAATTTATGGCTACTAAACTAGTAGATCTTCCTTTTTATTCCTGTGTGTTCGTACGTAGTTTGTACTTGGTGTACGTGTGGACGACTCCGAGGCATCATCGAACGATGCTATCCAACAGACAACTCGTAATAGTCAACTCGGTACGTGTATACTAGCAGAGAGCTCACGCAGTCGGACACTCCAGTAAAAAGTTATAGAACTCTTTAGAATATTCTCAGAAATGGAATCACTCATCAGTCAATCCTCTACAGTGATGATTGGGAACTTATCAGCCAATCTAACTCTCATCAGACATCATCAGTAAGCTCAAGGTTCGATTCAGCATCTCCGTTGCAAACGGCGCAAACGATGTCGGCTTAGACGCCTTATAGGCCGGCATACACACGAACAATTTGCTTGTGTCTTTGTGACTGACGATAACACAGAAAATCTCAGACTATTCACAAAACCAAAACGCTTCTTGGTCCACGGATCAGTACTGAAAAACTTACAACTTTCCAATGATCTATTACTCATCAGTGAACTTTATGTGAAATAGCACTAAAATCATAGACTCTTTTTTCAGTGAATTCATTTCAGACAATAGTCAGACATATTATATTATTATTATCTTATTTATTACTGTTACTGTAGTGGTTAATAAATAATTATTTGTTACTGTTGAATAGTGTCAGCCGATACATTCACACCTGTTCAACAGTCCCGTCTGTTTTAGCATCCAACTATCCTAAAAAATATAGTCCACATACTTCCTGATTACCACCCACCTGTTATCTATTTTACTATTTTTCACTCACGTTTGGAGGAATTTTGTTTCATACTTTTTCTAATAAGTGAGTTTTTATTCGTCTTATTAATTCTTAATAAAAGGGTGATTGGAAGAGTTGTAACGATAGACAGAAAGGTTCTTAATCTGCGTTAAGTGTTGTGCCTCATCGCGGTATTTATTGTTGAAAAAAGATTCAGAAAATATTATTAAATTAGATAATTCAATTTAAATAAATAAACCTAAATTCAGTAGAATTAATTTAAAATTTAACAATGTTAATAAAGTTCCAAATCATACATTTTTTAGACCTGGGTCGTATTTAAAATGATTAACTTGAGTAATGAAATTACAAAGTTTTCAAGATTTGCTAGAATGTTTCCTTTATTGTTTGTTTTCTTTTATAACTATTTTAATATTTTATTATTATTAGTTGATGAAAGTGGGGTTTTTAGGCAGAATTAAAAACGTAGAATGGTCTTTCCTAGCGTTGTAGTACCCATCATCGTGTTAAGTCTCTGAGAGCAGAGTCAACTACTATAGTACTGACGCTAGTACTGACCATAGGCAATCAAAGTTCGCTGTTCAGAGTGGTCTCAATGAAAACCTCCTTAAAAGTGTTATGGTGGTGAATTTTATTTTATTTTTTTTAAGAATCACAGTTATTCGATATTACGCTAGATGTCTTGTGTTGATTATTTTCTCGAGAATCATAGCTCTTGAGTGTGATAATAGGTCATGAATCTTTACAACTTACTCGTATGTATATTTGATGACGAAATCTATATAAGTGATTGATTGATTATTTACTGCTAATAATCCCCGATTATCTGATCACTTATTTATACATATCTTTCAATATTTATTAATAACCCCTGATTCTTTCTTTATTTATTACGAGGTAATGGATCAATTTTATAATTTATATAAAACAGCTACTATCACAAGTAACAATGCCGTTAAATTGCAATGATTGCGAAATCTAGGTATGATTCCATCCTTTCGGCATTGTTTCAAACACAAAAAAGAGATATATCGTCATGACCGTCATCATTGTTGTAGCAGATCGTTTGTTGCATTAAAAAAAGCTGAGTCATAGTGTGCCAGTAGCTGAGAATACGTGGTTTGAGGATTCTAGTGATTCTGTCCAATGTTGTATATTGGTTACGTATTGCTTTTCAATTAACCTCTTGTGTAGTTAGACGGTTAGAAAGTTTTCTATCGTCAACAATGAAATAATATCTCGTCAAACTATTTCCGATAGGTTTCACTATTGCCCCGAAATCTGCACAATTGCACTTGATGAGAAGTTTGAGAAAGAAAATCTTTTAGGTAGTATTGGTGTAGTTGTAAAGATTGGTAAGTGCAAGATTGAGCGCAGAAAGTATCAAAGAGATCGAGTAGTTGAAGGATCATGGACCCTAGGTATGATAGAACGTAGATCTGCGCATCGTTATCGTTTGAAAATTTGTCCAAATGGTGAGCGGGACAGAAAAAACTTTAATTCATTTGATTCGAAGGCATGTGTTACCAAGAACAGAAATTCATACAGATTGTTGGCGAGTTTACATTGATTTTGTAGACTATGGTTATCGGCATTTGACCGTAAATCATTCTGTTGAGTTTGTGAATTATGAAACGGGGGCTCATACTTAAAATATTGAGTCATCGTAGCGATGGATGCGCAAAGAATTGTCTGAAGGTGGAGTTAATAAAGAATCATTAATAGATCATATGTGTGAATTTATGTGGCGGCATCGTTGTTTAAGATTAGGATTAGATCCCTTTGTGGAGTTGTTAAAAAAATTAAAAAATCCATTATCCAGGCCATTCGGAGGATAGGTAGGAAAACAATGTCATGTGCAATTATTATATTAGATTTTGTTTATTATGAGAAATTTATCCATTTTTGTTGATTTCCAATCAAAAATCGCTAAATTTTCGTTAAAAAACCGAATTCAATGGTTCTTAGATTTTCTTTTTGTTTTTTTATTTGTAATTGTATTATTTATGTCGGAAAAAATCATAAGAATTTATTTACGATAAAATTTTCATCAATTTTAGTTGATTTTTCATAAAAAATTGTCTTAAATATTACGTCCCGATCAATTATCCTGGAATTAACGAAATTTCAAGATTTCGGGAGCTTTTACAAAACGGAAATTAAGCAGGGCATCAGTTTATCAAATAATTCCCGTGTAAAGTCGCTTAACGGTTGTGAAGCTGCCCGTAATACAGTGGTCTTACTTTAACACGTTGCAAACCGCAAAAATTTAAATAGGGAAAATCCGAAAGATTTACCCGACATGTGAAATATCATATAAATGAAAAAACGAAGGGGGAAAGAAAAGAAAAACAAAAAGAATGTAAATACTCACCGTTGGAGCCGCTGGGTTGCTCATGGTTGCGAAAAAACGAAACAAAACAGAAAAAACTCGAAAAGAGAGGTCCACAAAATTAAACAGTCCCCCACAAAAAAATGTCACTGGGGAAAGATAACTGGGTAACTATTGTGAATTTTTGGGGATCACCAAAATCACCTTAAAGTCCAGAAGCACCTCGTCACTCAGAATGGTGATCCGTTTCCCGATGAGTGAAGTGGCCTTAGGTGGCTCTTCTTGGAGGATGGTAGACAGCTGGTCGAGTCCCTTATGATGATCCTCAATGATCCTGTGCATCTGCACCCTCCAGCCTGCTCTGATTCCTCGCCTCTTTGATTCAGGCATGAGAGCAACACATTGTTCTAACACTTCACACAAAAACTCAAAACTGCGCACAGTAATCCAACCAACGGAAATTGAAGGTACACTGTAAATCCAGTTGCTGAAACGGTTCACTCGAACGATACTAGAAAAACGTCGAAATGTAATTATTCGCGCACTTGTAAAATAAATAAATTCAAGCAAATAGAGTCTAGGAAAATGGGGTAAAAGGAACGTTTTCGCTCTGGAATGTTGTTTGCACGCGTTATGCAAACTGCGCCTCAAAAAACAAACTCAGAAAAGTAGCGTGTAGAAAGGTAGAAATGACTGCACGCGTTTTACTAACTGCACCTCAGTCATGTATGTGTAGAAGAATTAGGATATAGTGAATGGAAAAGAAATGCTATTGACAGATATTTTTGAGGGTATTATTATCGAGAGTGTTCAATGAATTTACATACTTTACAAGGAGTGACAAGTTCACTCTTTGCGATTTGCGGATCAACTGAGGAGAAAGATCACATCAGCGATGACGGCAGCTCGACGTTGCTGTATCCATAGAGATACAGGTGCAACGTCAGGATTTTTCAGGCAGACTTGACAACGTCAAGCCCCCTGGGCCTTATTGCTGACGTCGGCTTCCTGCTCGTACATATGATATTTTTTCAGAAGATCAAATTGTTCTCTTTATGATGCATGATTTTCAGGTTTTCATGAATTTGCAGGCGCTGCGGTCCAGATACAGGTGTGCCGCCGCGGCCACCTGACTTATTTTATAAGTTTTATTAGATGTTAGTATTTTTAACGCCAAAAATAACGCGGTTCCTCGCGTTTTTAACAATTTGTAACAGAATATTACTTTTGTTACATTAATACTACTTATTATTAATTACTTCGAATTAAGTCTTGAGAACGTCCGGTTAACAAATCCCGCATTTCGCTTTGTTTAAACTTTTCCCTGACGCTGCGTGAGAACGCGCATCAGTTAGTGGGCGTGTATGTGTAGACATACACATGCGTTCATTTACGTATTCCTATATGAACATATGAAATATAAAATTTAGGGGATTTTTGGTTCTTAAGTGATAGAGACCCTTATGAGGAACATACCTGCCAAAAATCGGCAGGTAAATATTTAATATATATTTCATAATTAAAGTCGCTCTCCTCTTCGCGAAGTATTAGGAGAGCATGAACGAGAGAAGGTATTGTTAGCCGAGCGCTCCACTCTGCCGGCTTCAAGGCCCCCGTTTGCCTCGCCGCGCTAGCGGTGACGAGTGACCTTGCTGCTTGGCATCTTCAATGTGTAGAAGTTTTATAAAAACAGTAAATTTTGCCTTAATGGTATGAATAAGTTTTATTCGCCTGCTGCACGTACATGTGCGTTGAACTTGGTTGTGATTGTGAAACTGTATGCTAGGAGTTATAAATGTAGTGGTATATTTACTTTCTTTAACCTAAAATGCAAGTGAAGTTCGTCAGGACGTAACAGTTAATAAACATGTAAAAAAATTTTGGTTCAAATCGGAGGTACTACATCCAAAAATTTTTTTTCAATCATCACAACATATTTATTACAACATAACAACACGCACACCTTTTACCAAGATATCTGTGGAACGAAAAAATTCTTTTAAATGTCACTGAATGGTGTTAAAAAAACATCTCTAGTGACATTGAATCACTAGTTTTGTTGTGATCCCTACCTTGCTCAGTTACCTCTTCTTAATTCATTTTTCTCTCAATAAGAATGATGTACTATCATATAAGCGAAAAATATAATCAACTACATCTTTTGAATGTGCCTTCGTATGCGTTTCTTATAATTTATTATGAAAATTGTTACCGATTTAGTCGTTTGAAAAAAGATATCATAGGTATTTGCAACCTTCAAACTGTCTGGTGAAGTGGTTATCTTTAAACGTTTACTCTACTTTTAAGAAATGCACAAGTCCGCATTAAAAATGTCTTCGAGATCATTTACTTAAATCCTACCAGTACTGAAAGAATAATGTCCACCTGCGCAGATATTTTTACATGGATATTAATATTTGTAACACGGGGTCATTTAATACGGTCAGAGTATCTTTAGTGACAATAGTCTCTTTGCACCATTGAATTACAATTTTAATGGCTTACACCTTGACTTGAAGAGTTGGTTTGCAGTGCTGCTCTGAGCGTATAGAATACATAAGCGTTATTTTGCAAGCGGCTTTTTTCGTGAACAGACTCGTTGCAACTTCTACTAGAAACTACCTGAATAATGTTCTTTTAAGTTATGGGAATACGCGTTTTAATTTGAAAATATACAAAAGTTGAATGAGTTAAGATGTTACTGTTTTACTTCTTCTAATTCTAACTTTATTACCGATGAAAATCTATGACCTGATGTCTTTTTCTCCTGTATGCTTGATAGATATATTTTTTCTTATATGCTTAATAAAAAAAACAATCATTCTATGAGTCATAAGATAAAAAAATTATTTCACTGATTTGTAGGATGGAGATACTATTTTAGGAACTGATTATGGAGAAGAAGATGAAACATGTACTTTTGACAAGAGTACAATTCTTGACAACGATAAAAATCGTTTATTATTAGAGAATAGTCCAAATCATTTCGTAATAGAAGATGTCTCTTGTGATCCAATGATTAATCTTAACCCTACAACAAAGACTACTATCGAAAAAAAATGGAAGGATATTTTAGATGATGACACTGAGATAATTGTAAGTAATTTTATATGATATACTTTTCATTATTTTGAGCTGGTTGTAAATCAGATCTTTTTTAATAACATTGTAGCGAAAAATAAGAAAAATAATATCTTGTAAACGTGCTTTTCATCATGATCATGATTTTACACTTCGTCTATTTCGTTTCTCTATGTATTATTCATTTCTATAGAGGTAAGTCTTGCTTCCACGTTCTAAGAAGGACGTCTTGAGTAGGTATCCCCCCTGAAGATATTACTGTAAGAAAAGATAATGGATTCTACTTTGCGCGATGGTGTTACCCAGGACGCAATATATCTGCGTGTTGAAGAAGACACGGAGATAAACGTACCTAATCTCGACATTTGTGTGATAACAATATGTATCTCAATATATATTCTTAATCTTAATAATTTTTTGAGAAACAAATACTACAGAAACTAGTAGAGACCATTTTACATTTTATCATGAGTTAAAAATCGGTTCTGCCCTCAGAAACTTAACACGGTAATGGGTGTCTCAAATTTTACTAAATACTATTCTAACTTACTTGATGAATTAAAAGCAGTTATTATTAAACAGATTTATTTTTTTATTTAGAAATTGTACTATATTTTAATATTAGTAATTGTAACTTCACCTCCTTTTCAGTCAATCAAACAGTCAATGTCACTTGACAATAAAAAAATAGTTATCCTTATTATTCAAAATATTCATACATTATAATATTTCTATTCTTTGATATGATTTTTCTTAGTAATTACAGCATACAGAAACTTATCATCACAGTTACAGTATAATTATTCAAGTATTTAATACGTCAAGAAAATAAAATATTTTTACATATTGTTTACAGATATTAATACTGAATGTTACAAAAATTGCTTATTTTTAATCTATAAACTTGCATGATTAACTCGTACTCTCGAATTGAATGCACGGTGCCATCCTTCTATAGCATTATTTGATCTAATTTCATCATTTACAACAGCATCATAGCAGTTCCACATAACGAATCCATAATAAGCCTTTCGACGACGTTTTCCAGAACATGAACGCACACCAACCCATGTGCGCTCAAAATAATCAATTAAATACACATTATGAATTGGAAAAAATGATAATGCCATTAACATTCGAATATTTAATGCAAATCTTGACTTCGTGTTATAAATATGCTGCAAGCCGCAAGATTGAATATTATGCCAGATACATTGGCTAAAATGAAATGAACAACCCAAAATAGCAGTATCCGGAAAAATACATTTAAATGCAGCTATAAATGCTAATTCAAAATCAACCATTATTCTTGTAGGATTCAGAGCTGACGTACTACGGTTCTTCAAAACTGATAGACACTTAGTATACAATTTTTCTGATTTACTACGCAAGTGCATGTACACTAAGGGTAACATGTTATAATTTTTCAATCCGTAGATTGTGTAAAGCTGTTGAAACAACACTGGCACTGAAGACAATGTACCGTCACTTGCTCATTGGGCACATTCAGATAATATCTCTAAATTTTTAGTAGTGGTCAATATTGAAAATCTAGATTTACTGCCACCGCTGTCATAGAATAAGATATTTTCACCTTTTTTCGTTACTTGTAATTCATCAGGAATAACTAAACGTTCACGAGTAGTTATTTTTGGCATCTTAACCTGTTGAACATGACGAACGCATTGGACTTCTCGGGTGAGCGATACCAGCTTTGGCAATTTAGCAACTACTGGAAATAGCACTGATGCTAAGACTGCAGCAATAGCAGCATAAGGAAGATCGTCATTTTTAGCAGCACGTTTTTCTATTTGGGAGCAGATAACTTTTACTTCTACTGATGCTACTTCAGCTGCATGATCATGAGGTGGATGATTGCCGATAAGTGAACCTTTGATATGTAGAAAAATGTTAAATTATAAAAATGTATCACGCACATTAATATGTATAATCTTACAAGGAAACCTCGCGAGGTGGTCACCGTCAATTTAGCTGAGGTTTCTATACAATGATCTACGTTAAAAATGATGAACCACGTATTTTCTTTTTCCGCGGAAAAACGTTCTCAAGGGGTGAAAATCACCTCCAGAGTTGATACCCTATAAAGGTGTTTTACAATTTTTACAATAATCACCGTATAAAATACGTCGTAATTAGAGACTGAGTAGTTTATGATTTGTCAAAATATTGTTTTTTGCTATCGTCATGTTGGCAAACACAGATATAGTTTTTATCGCAGTCACTGATAAACTATTTTTCAGGAAAACTATTTCTGTAATTGTAATATACGGATTATTCAATGATAGCATTTTTATACATGTGACACGTTTTAATCCTTTAAAAAATTGTAACATTATTATTTCGCATTCATCTTTAATACTGTAGTGAATGGATATTTTTGCATCTTGTATTCATTTTAATTTTGGTTAATAGTTCAAAATCATTTTACATGTGTATATAATAGTGTGCTTGAAATAAAAATATTATCTTTTATTCCAAAAATTGTGTAACACTCAATAGTTTAAAATAAAAGTTAACCCCCATAATGTTATTCGGTTACTTCTAACAACATTTCAAACTATGAAAATTATGGAGACACGTGGAGATGATGCTGAAATACAGTTGAAGAAATACTTTAAACAAATATTATTCAATGCAACATATGGGTATACTGATATTGAAATGATGAAGGAGAATTTATTGCATTTTTAAGAACCATATCAAGATTGTAAATCAGAAATTATAGAAGACAAAGAATACGGAGACAACTTCAAATCTCATTGTGAAATTCCAGGATGTAAAAATATTGCAATTATCCGTTGTGCATGGTGTAAAAAATCATTGTGTTTTCAACATTTTTACAATGATTATCATAAATGTAATACGTACAATAAATAAATAATTTATCTTCTTTATTTTGATACAAATTTGGGAAAAAAGGTAAAATTTTTTTGGCATCGATTTTGATGTTATTTTAAAAAATGCGAAGACTCGTTATTTCTAATAAGAAAACAATGTATATTCGCAAGTTTTATAAATATGTAAATAAAAGTATTTATCATTTTTTATGTTATTTTGGACGTGTACGGACGTATCACGTGTTTGGCTCAACGGTGGCAATACAAAACAAACATAACAATAATTTGGATACATGTGATGATAATTTCCCACCCAAAAATATCTAACGCCGGCAACTAACCATGCCCAATCCCATCCAGTATACCGAATGTCAAGAAACTCAAGAAACCCAGGAACAACCTTCATGCTTAGAGTCGACAATGAACTCGGACAGTGATACCATTCGCACCTTGCAGACACTGGAGCAGCCGTCAACGTCATCAAATTACAATGTACTGCAGGACTACCAGTTAGAAAAACCACGGTACAACTAACTGAGATTAATAATACACCTGTAAACTGTATAAAAGAATGTACAATTACTGTAGATAACGTCGAACACATTTTTTTGTAATTCCAAACGATTTTCCCCTAGAAAAAGACGAAATTGCAGGACGTCCATTTTTCGAGAAGGAAGATGCGGTTATCTTAGCAAAACACCGGACAATAATTTTTAATGAAAGAAAGCCAGAATCGAAGATATTGAAGATAGAAAAAGAAAAGACAAGTAACTATTCCACAGCTAGAAGCAAATTATTATGGGAACATACACGTCCCAATCACATTTCAGATAAAAAGGTTAGAGATGAGATATGGAAAATAATAGATTCTTCCCGGGATGTATACAGGTTACCAGAAGATCCTTTACCATGTTCTAATCTGGGTGATCATCTACTTGAAACTACGGATGAGATACCAGTATATGTTCAACCGTATCTTTATCCACCTAGACAGATGAAAGAAATTTTAAGACAAGTTTAAGAAATACGGAAGCAATAATTAATTGAAGATTCAGACTCTCCGTACAATTCACCTCTATGGATTGTTCCCAAAAAGAGTGATACTTCAGGAAAAAAAAAATGGCGAGTCGTGGTAGACTACAGGAAACTGAACGAAAAAACTCGTGCAGACGCCTATCCTATACCAAACATCACGGAGAAAGATAATCAGAGCTATATTACTTGACTAATCAAGTAAACTTATTGTAGAAAACATCACTAGAATTCTAATTAATTTTTATTTACAGTTCGGCACAGTTTCTTATACAATCTAAAAAATAGTATTAGAAAAATCAAGCAGAGTCAATTTAAGATTTTTTACTTCGTTCGTTAATCACTTTTTATGTTGTCTAGTAGAAAAAGCTGGATGGACGAAAATAATGAGAGCCTTATTAGTTGACTAGTCGATTCAAGTCATTCCAGAAAACGTTGCTAGAATTCAAGTAAAATTTTATCGGTAGTATTAAACAGTTTTTCATACTTTCTGATTAACAATATTCGAATAATCATGTTGCCACAATTTTATATAGATACAAATTTTGACTCCTTCCAATAATTTCGGATAGCCAAACGCGCTAAAGCGTCGGTTTAGTTAGTTGCGTGTCTTATAAGCCATCGTAGGTTCGAATCTCCCCAATAGAATATTGTTTACTAGCCTAAAATCTGCGTTTTCTGCAGTCTTTAAACTGCGAATACGTAAAATTGGTGTTCAGCATTTACATAGAGTGTCTATCAAAAATAATTTTTAGTTGTCCTAATTATTTTTATTAATTGATTTTTCGCATTTTCTGCGTAATTTTTACGATAGAGAATTCAAAGAGTATAATGTTTCTTAAACATTATAGTAGATGATACGTTACATAAAAGAAATATATTGTTAATAATTTCACCTAATTATTTATTTTTCTAATGTGTTGTTGAAAAATTTGATTAAGTTAGCTACAACATTAGTAAAAATTTCTCTCTAGTTAAGTAAATTTTACTATAATTTATCGTAAATCTCGAGTATTTACTGATAGAACATTTCTAGTAAATTTTGCTTGACTCGACGATCATCCATATAAGTGGAGTTTCTAGTAAAACGTTCTAGAATTCTAGAAGTATGGTCATGACTATTTT